ATGATTTCATGTATGTTTATGAGTGCATATATACACGCACATGCATACAGACATCTACAGTAAGAGCTATTTGGAGTGGGAAGTTGACCTTTGAAAGGTCTCTTTGGAGTTGGGAGAATCTCTATGGGTTAGGAGGAAACTGGGTGTGCATGTGTGACAGCAGTAAAACTCGGAGGTTGGGAGAAGTGAAGCACCCAGCTTAAAAGAGGACCGGTGTGACAAAGAGGAAAAGAACCAAAGTGAATTAAAGACAAACCAAAACAATGCTGCGCTTAAACTTCAAGGAGCGGGATGAGAGTGATGAACTTCAAAAATGTCTCTCGAAAATAGTTGTCAGTTTTAAGACAGAATGATGCAGATTAATAAAGAAATTAATACTTAATTGAAGAATATTCTTAGAAAAAGCAGCGGAAAGGAAATACAAGAACATGTTTTGTAAATGTATTGGATTTAAAGACGTCTTAGTATGCTTCCAGTGGCAGGCATGTACATGCACAAACATCTACACGCACACAGTGTTGTAAGAGAGCCATCAGGTGTCTTCTCAGCAGGATGTGACATTCATCATCACAGTTTTCATATCACTGTTACGACGGCCAGTCTGCATGCCAGCAGTGGGTGACTGGGTTTGACTGACATCTGACTGACTTGTCTTAAAGACTTGTGTGTGTGAGACACTGAAGACACCGCAAAAGCATCCTCGTTAAGCCATTTGCACTGATTTGAGGGAAATACTCCCGTTTGGATTGTAGAGACCTGCCTTTCACAAACTTCTTCCAAACTCAGACAGAAAATTAAACTATTTTACAGGTATCACAAAGAACTACATTTAGGCTGCAAATGGGCTGTTGATGTCTTGGCAGTAGAGCATGAGAGGGAAAGAGCTACACCCTATCAAGGGATGACGTGACAGCCCATCAGTGAAACAGGTGTCATGGTTGGCGTAGCAGTGACTGGCACAAGGAAAACTGTCGCAGTTTTATATTTGCCATGTCTGCCTCTCAGTCCGTCTGTCATCCCTTGTCCAGCTGTCACAGTTTGAGGTAACGTGACGTGACTGTATCAGTGTCTGTCTCCACGATTGCTTTCAGGATGATGTCATCCATCCGCCTGTCTGTCATCTCAATGACTGTCATAAAAAAAATACGTCTGTCTGTCTAGATATCTGACTGACAACCAGCTGAACTCCACGTCTGATTCATGTCGACTCTTTTTACTTTGCAAGAGAGGAAATGTCAGATCAAGCGGCAGATTGGGATATTTAGTTGGTTGGTTAAACCTGAATGAGTAAAATGTACTGGTTAAGTGCAGTTCAAATTAGTTAGTGGCGGTAATGTGCAAATTCCGCCAGACACCTTAAAACTCAACCAGATTACTGCTCCCATGTGCTCCTCTCAAAAGGGCCCAAGTAATCTTCTTTGCATATGAACAAGAAAATAATATATAATGCCATAAAAAGAGGACCAACAGGATCACGTCAGGGTAATTCACTGGCCTGCGTGTCTGCCTCTGTGCGTCTGGCTGTCTCCTGACTGGCGGGCTGGTTTTTCGTGCATCTGTCCATCCATCTGTCTTTCACTCATGAGGATCAGTAGCTGTCATAAACGTGCATCTACTTGATGTCTAGCTAGATGTTGATGCATCTCTTCTGAGAGCTCAGAGACAGAAACATTCTACTGGATTCAAGCACTGTACTTCAATCTAAGTGCAAAAGAGGCTCACTAACAATCTTAAGCATTTGAATAAATGAATAAAGTTTCGAAAGCATCTGTATGTCAACCTCAGGCAAACCTATTTTGTGTTTTTCAGAAAGGATTTGATGAAGACACTAGGAGAAGGTCCTAAAAGACAGAGAGAGAGAGAGCGCCATATGGGGACATCTAGACAGACAGTAGGAGAAAGGAGGCATTAAGAGATGAGGACTGGCTCAGCAGGGTTTCCAGGGCTGGGATTTGAACCTGCTGCTGTAGCTCACCGTGCTGTCAGCAAGAGGTCTATCTAGAAGCATTATGTGCTCATACAAGACACACACACACAGGGGGCTTTTAAAATACCTGACTGCTCTCCATTTCTGCAGACTTTTGTAGGCCACAAAATGCTCTAAAGCTTATGTGTAGAGTGAATATGTTGTCAGACATCAACTTAAGTTACTTGTTACTCAGTGGTTTGTACCAGAAGACTCCCCTTTTCAAGTGTTCACGGATAAACAAACGAACAAGAAGTTGCAACTTCTCACCTCCTGAGCTATCCCACATGCATCGTATCCCAGTCCGAGCTCTCTGGAGCTCACATGAAGTTACCAACCGAGGTCCCTAATAGTTTTGGTATACCCAAATTGCAGCCCGCTCATAAAACGTTCCACACACAAATTGCTCGCTCCATGACTCATTTTATACCATATAGGTGCCAAACACACAGGATGCAACAGTGTTGACATGGAAACACAATAAACAGACTCACGTCTGCGGACCGAAAGAACAAAAAGTTATGTTCAAGTCGTTTTGGCAAATGAGCGAGGTAATTACGTTTTAGGTGGTAAACCTGCATAATTTTGCCTTTAAACCATTTGCAAAAATAACACAAATTTTGCACATGAGATTTTATCAAATTTGAATTCACTGTATGGTACCGGCAGTTTGAAGTAGTAAGATGTTTCTAAATAGTAAAGAAAGTTGCTCGAGGAACTCCCAAGGACTTACAGAACTACTCACCAACCAATGCTGTTTAGCTGAACTCCGTCTCTCCTCGATTTTACTTCATTCCTTAATCTCCCCTTCTTATTTCCTTCTCCTTCATTCAAAGTTCAGCAACATATCACAAAAATAACTTCTCTCACTTTGAAGTTTTGGCAAATCTTTGCAAAAAAAAAGTCTGGCCTTCTCTGCTTCTCTCTGCCTCTCTGAGCCTGCCTCTCTATCTCTGTCTCTGTCTCTATCCAGCTATTCCAGACATGTTTCAGGGCTCAGCCCCAGCCAAATATGGGAGGAGGGCAGTAAACAAGGAAGACAGCCTGTGCTGTCACTGGGCCCGCTGCCCTACTGTACACCACACACACACACACACATGCTGGAACACACACACGCTTATTCTCCTGCGGCAACACACTATCTTTAGTGGTTATTCTCATTTTTCAGACCTCAAGGGATCATTACATTCCCAGAACACGTTTAAGTGGTATGACTTTCGATCAAATTAGAAACATATGAAACATCTACTTGATATATTAAAGATGGTAAATGAAGCACTTGTAAACATCAGCATACAGTATTAGTTTTAACACACCAAACTATGTTTTTAGTGCCACCATCTTCTCTGGCATCTCTTCAAACATTTGGATTTGTGCCATAAAGCTTCAAGAAATCTGCAAATTAAATGAATAATTTTCAGATGTACAACAGTACACATGTCCCTTTTTGCTCGCATCAGTGCAGTCGCGCCATGGCTGCTCAGTGGCCCAAACGGTGGCCTTCTGACTGGTTTGACCTATGTGTCGACAGCTGCCACCACACCACAGAGCTATTAGTAGAGCAAAGGCAAGCCGACAAACACAAGGTGCACTGCACACACTCTTAAGATACCACATAAAAACAAATGCAAAAGGCTCATATAATCTAGAAAAATTTACAGGCCTGCACAGACACCTATGCGCGTCCATATAGTGCAAAAATACTGTGTTACATAAACACAAACAGCCGGACTAAAACCTTTAAAACACACACTTCACACGGCCGCGATCAACAAGCGCTGAAGTGCAACACTCGTCACAAATTCCTTCCGTCAAAGAAAGCTAAGGACACCTCTCCTCACGTTCACCGTGAGCGAGCGCATCAGTATGAAATGCACACACCCTCTAAGCTGCCTAATCCTGCAGACGCTTTTCAGACACCCATCTTTCGTTGATGCCTCTCAAGTGGATTTCCAAGGTCGCTGGACTCTGTTTAAAATGGCGTCAGGATGAGTCAGCCGAGGATGAAACGTTCTTTTTACACCCGGACAAATAAACAAGTCTGGATTCTCCAAATGATACCCGACGAGTGATAAGTGTCCTGCAGCATGTAAAAATAGGCCATTCATGCATGTCAGTGTTATTCGTGTGGCATCAGTGTGTGTGGTCAACTCAAATGTGTATTCTGCTCGTGCTACTTTTTGAGACAGCATATTAAATCTAAAAAGACTTATATTTCGCTTTTAAATTCAAACGCTCACAAAGCTTTAGAAACAGCTCTCCTGTAATTTTCTTTAATCTTTTTTCCTCCGAACGTGCGGATTCTCGCGCCCAAAGTGTCGGAGCGAAAGGCTCCAATCAGAGAAATGAATAAACTGGCCGAGAGGTTTTTTCTGCTGAGTGCTGAGAACACCGCCACCCATTCAATTAGAATCAAACTTGCAATCCCGGCAATTCCCACTGACCTTCTTGCAACATAGCAATTACCGCAACTGTTCTCTGGGGACGTTCATAAAAAATGAAATGGGTCTTTGTGAAGCCGTTGAAATAGAAAAAATCCCATATATAAAAGTGGATGCAGCACTACGATGAGCGCCAAGTCTTGACTCAACTGATGCTGAGTGCATCCTCCTGTTTTCTCAGATTCACATTTATGTTAAGTGGAATGGTACACTTCTTAAAAACTCTACAATATTAAGGATATTTTATGATATTATCAGTGTTATGTTCCGTTTATTACAGATATTTACTACAAAGAGTGAGTCTTTGCTGTATGTCATACATGTGGTATTCCATGCACTGATTCGTCTATGGATGACTGAATAGGTAGGAGGGGGTACACGATACAGGCCGACCAAGTTTCAAACTCCTGATAGGAAAGCTGGGAGTGGATGGAGGTGGGTTTGGGCACTTGGGGTTGATGGTGTCTCAGGTTACAACCTCCCTGAGAAGTGGGCAGCCACCGGCAGGGCGACTGACGCCCCCCTATTTCTGCAGCGGCTATTTAAAGGAGTAATTGACAGACCGGGGTTTAGGAGGGTGGGGGGGGGGGGGGGGGGGAAGGCTGTATTGCTTAGAGGAGGAGAGGCGGTTTGAGGAGCAGGAAGACAGATGGATCTTCTCTTCAGTTGAATGCAGAGTGCATCAAAGCCAGAGATCTTGAGCTGGCGGTGACTGAGGAATTGGATTTATGTGCACTGAATTTTAAGTGTGGCTCTGAAACCTGTATGTGGATTAGTGATACTGAACATAGCTCATATTTGTTCATTTGTGAAGTAAAATTTAGTTTGAGGCGATAACGCTGTGGATGAGTGGAGACAACTAATCCATCAAACTGTGTACTTGTGCGTTTGTGTGTGTGTGTGTGTGAGAGAGAGGACATACCGTGCTCACCATCCGCCGTGTCCTCGCAGCGCTGGGTGAAGCTCTCGTACGAGTCCCAGCGGATCAGAGGGTCCTGGGTGTTGTAGTCCACAGAGACACTTGGCCCGTTCTCCAGGTGGCCAAGGCCTGAGGAACACATGGCATGATGTTAACGAAGCCCCAACAAAACGCTCTAGAAGTTAGGAATCAAAAACTTCCAGAAAAGTGAACTCTTCAATTAAAAAAAAATGGTAATTGTCACCTTTTTGAAAATGTTAATGACACCTAATATATCAGGCTTAATAACCTTGTTGTTGAGTCACATTATAAAAATCTAAATCAACATTTTCCCATTGCTCAGGAAAAATTGATTACCTTTGATTTTTTCTGGTCCATATGAGAAAACAAACTCCACCTTTCCATACTCTGGGAACCTCTCGTCTGTATAGAGACACACAATAGAGAAATGTTTTTCTACTTGTAAAACAATGTGATTGGCAACTTATTTTCTTTATGATCACAAAAACACAGAAATATTTTGTAAAAAAAAAGAAATAAAATCACACCCACCCAGAGAGCCGTTACCTTTGAAGGTATCGTCCAGCTCGTTCTTCCCGAACACCACCCCGAGGTCGTGGATGGCGCAGGTGTGGAACTGCACCCTGAACATCACATCCCTGGTGGAGTTCCTGTACCTCTTGTGGTAACACTTCAACTACGGGGAGATAAGAAAGAAAACATCAGCACATGAATCAACGTATTAATCAGTTTTAGTGTCAGTATGATAATAAAGTCTTACCAGGATGTCTCCCTTCAGAAGCAGGCCGGGCTCAATGGTGATGCAGATACTTGTGTTGCTGTCTCCTTGCACATTGCTGTTATAATAACAATAATAACGCCTTAAAATCCAATACAGGGTCAGCTCTGCCCTGCATTCAAACACACACCACACTGAACTGAAATTAAAGTTTCCGTACTATATTCCTGACGTATAGACCGGTTGCATCGCCTGGTAGATCTTCAGGAAAGGACGGCAGCCTGTGAAGGGAATCAAAACCAGAAGCTTGAAACATTTCCCAGAGAACCAGCAGGCTCTTTCTGTTCGCTCGGCAGAGGTAGAAGCTCACCTCCTTTGGACTCAAAGTTGGGTATGCCATGCATGATGACGTGATGCAGGAACAGAGGCTTGTTGTTGATTTTTATGTGTCCAGAAAGAAGTCCGTTGAAGTATCGCACATACCTGAAAACAAAAGAGAATAAGCATGAGGTCTCCAATTCATGAAGCACATCCAGCTGAGCACAAATTCAACACTATATATTAATCACTACGGCTACATGATCCAAGCATTTGTGGCTGCACCCCATCCAAGCAGATTAGACCCTCATCCTGTGTAATGCACCTTTACCGCCCGTCAGCTCCAGCAGCCCAGCCAGAGGTAAGTTCCACTCTGACTATAAAACCACCTTCATCCACTACGGGAAATGTCAGAGTGAATGGGTGTGTGGAGGCCGGTCGGGGGTCCGTTGAGTGTGGTCTGGTTGTTAACGATGATAACAATGAGGGCACCTAACGTGAACTTGACCGTGGGGTTGCCACATGCAGACGCTCCCCCCCTTTGCTCCGCTGTCAGTGTCCAGATGGTTTCGCCCCTCTGAAATTCAATTAGACTGAGCGGAGAGGCGGCAGGGGCTTGTCGTGTCATATGAGACTTAATCATGTTCTGTGTTTTACCAATGAATTATCCTATATTAAAGCCTTTCAAACTACGTACACACGCATATGAATTGACTACAGCCAAGATTAAAAACAAGTTAATGAAGAAGAGAGCCCATAAAACAATTCAGCCCATTTCCAGCGTGCACAATGGCAGCCATTCCTCTCAGCAAGTTTGTTTGCTGTTGCATTCTAACATTTCACAACCAACACGTTAATCATTTAATGATCCTAAAATGCTCCATGTAACACTTTTAATCCAAACTTTTACAAGCTTCTGTAGCAGCAGCAGCTCATCTCCTAATCTTGATGTTAATGTCACACATTCCAGACCGTAATACTTGCAGACTCCAGGGGCAGAGATAATTATATCCAAAGCAGGAAATAGCAGCGTGGCAGAGGGCAAGCCTATAGACCTGTTAGAGAATGGCTGGCTGCCTGAATCACAAGCTGAAATGAAGTAGTGTTAAGTCCCCTGCTGTTTCCTCATTTATTCCCTGCAACCTTTGTCCTGCTCATCTTTTCCAAGACGGGCTCAGATGAGGATTCCTCTCTTCGCAGGAGAAGAGAGACGCTGAGGGGTCAAGCCTTTAAGCAGTTAATTGTCTATTAATGTAGAAGGGGCAGGTAATATGGTAGAAGCAGATCTATGAGTAAAAGGAGGATGTCTCACAAGATACTACCCCTAGAGGGGGCTGCATTCAAAATAAGACATTTCTTAAATACTTTTAAACCACTCTTGATTGGTTCTGTTCTGGAATTTGCTCTCTATTCATGAGCAGCCCATTATCTCAAAACACTCGATGTTAAAAGTGGAGAAGAAATGGAGGAAAATATGCTCCGATGTGCTTAGAAGACAGGAATGAACTGCCACAGAGCCCCGCGGCCTCCCCCGAGACACCAGAGGAATCCCTCAGACAGACAAGATAGACGGCTTCTCTCCGTGCCACGACGTTTACTCACAATTATCCCAATTAAAACTAAACTGGAGATAATCTGAAGGGGAAAAAAAGGAAAGAATTTCCTCTGAAATGTTTGTTAAACAACAACTGGATCAGTCAGTTTGTCTTGTTATGTTGAAGCAGTGTGCATTCGAATGTATGAAGAGCAAAACTCTCTGGGGGTTTCCTCTCTTCACCCTCTAAGAATGTGAGCGTATTCGTCAAATGTAACATAAGCTGCAAACATTCGGAAACAGCAGGCAAGCTGCTGCGGCAAAGGTCAGACTCATAAAGCTTCATGTCAGGCAAACAGGAAGTTAGGTAACAACTGACCGTATCTGTGATGGCTGGCCCACAGGAAGTGCTTTGTCCTCGTAGAAGCGCCGCATAGCAAACCTGTCCAACGCCTGGTCAGCACTGCATCACACACATTTAAACAGACATTGTGATTATTTGTCATACTCGAGAGCATTTTGCAGTATCAAAGCTGCACATTTTTCCCAAGTTTGAGATTTAGAGAAATCCCCTGGCCTTCATCATTTACAAAGCAGCTTTAAATCCTCCTGGCTCGTTCCCACCGATCAACATCTGGTCGCATTAAAGAACAATGACATGTTGGGAGTGCTTCTTCTCGCAGAGCCAGAATAATAAGCGTGAGTGCTTTGCAATAATAATAACATCGGCGTTTAATTTTCAAGGCTGCTCAAGTCCCAGACCTCGAGGGCTAACTGTGATTGACTGGTGCTGCTGTCCTTACAAAACCTCTCGAAGGAGGAGATTCAAAGGAAATCACGATTCTTAAATATCAGCGGCCTTAATCCTTCACCTCTGCCGATCAAGCTCTTCGCTTAAACTACAGCCAACAACAATTAAATGTAGTAGTAGGATTATGTCGACAGATGTTTGATACCTTGCGGATATGTTGCTGTAGTGCATGTACGCAGCCACCACCACCCCTGTTCGACCTCGGTTCCCCTGTGACACAGAAACAGACACAAGACACGTGAACATCTTGTATCACACTGAGTGTTTAAATAAGACACAAAGGAATGTATAACTACAAGAATTGAAAAAAATACAAGAACGTGTGTTGATTTTAGAAGGTCAGCAGCCACATGTGCATATCTCATTGAAGACATTTTTTTCACATTTAACGTATATAGTTCAATGCCAACAAATAGTCCAGCGCATATGCTCGGTAAAACTCTTTGGTTTTTGTTTGATTAAACAAATGAAGTAAAACGTGATAATCGGTTAGCTTAACTGGTGCTGGTTGGCAGATTTATTATCTTTGGACGGAGCCACGTTTGCTGCTTCCCACTGTTTATAGGCTTTATGCTAAGCTATGCTAATCATCTTCATATTGAATGGACAAATATGAGAGGGGTATCATCGGAATCAATAGGAAAACGAATAAGTGTATCTGTAATGTTGAACTATACCTTACAGAATATTCATTTCAACTGGGCATGAGGAGGAGGGTGTGTCCTTGATAAACACGTGCTGTTCTTTCACACTCTGAACATGGTGTACCGTTCCTCCCTGCTTTACCTTGTTGTGCAGCACCACTACGTTGCGTGGGTCTCCATTGAGCCACGTGTCGATGGCCTTGCACATGCTGCAGATCTTGTCGAGCGCCGGTGCATGGTGGTCTGGCCAGCCAAACTCCACAACCTGAGGGTAGGGACCAAAAGAAGGGGTTCTTTCAGGCCTGGTTCTGGACTGGCTTTGAATGGGATGTTGATCACCAATGAATAGTAAAAATGTGATATTCTTTAGGACTGTAAGCTATTACGTGCACTGTTTCGTGTGGTCAGTTATAGTAATGTATGTAAACTTGCCACCAAACATGGTCACAAGTTAACCCTGCAGTACTTAAAACAAATAGCGCAAAATCCTCTGGCCTCGGGTTCTTTTTGGTTTAATTCCTCTCTAAACAGGAAGTCACAGATTAACATGTGTTTTTATGTGTCTGATTCAAACAACAAAGATGATCCAGCTGCTTTGTACCTTAGGGTTTACATTTGATAAGTCACTGCTCCACTCGCTCAGGTTGAGAATCTGAAATCAGAAAGAGAGCATATCTAAACATATCAAAGTGATACAAATAATGTTGTTTGTCCCTCAAAGAAATCACAGAAACACAGTCGGATCATTGAAATATAATAACAAATCATTTGATAAGATAAAAACAGAGGGATATGAGTCACTTTAGGGGGCGTTTCTCACCAGATAGTGCTCGCCATGTTTGGACCGCAGCATCGTTGCCACCTCCTTGAGGTTGGTGGTGTAGCTGCGTTCCTCGGCGCCGGCGGGGAAACAGACAGAGATGATCCTCTCTGTGATGTAGACCAGGTCGACCTCATAGCTCTCCTCCATGGCCGGAACCACACTCTGACTCCTGGAGAGGCAGAGGGAGCGAGAGGTATTTATCTGAGGATTTCACCTTTTCATCGTTTTTAAGCACATGCTGCTGTGAGACGATTTCTCTCAGAGTCCACTTGATCAAATGTAAACTCCCGCAGATCGCGCTTATAGTTCATGGAAAGGAAAAGATTCACAATCCGTCACTGATTGTTGATGTGATCTGTGTTGATAAATGCTATCTATCTTTTGGTTCAACTGGTGATGCTGGAGGAAAAATAAACTTTATTTCTTAATTTATTCCATATACCTTCATCATTCCTACTACTAAGTAAGTGTGTACATCTGCACATTCGCATTTAGTACAACACAACAGTATAACAATGCTGTGTCTTACCGCGACTGCTTTCGCAATATCTCCACACTCTTGCAGGACCTCGTAGATCCCTGGAGGGCGCACGCACACACACACACGCACACACACACACACACACACACACACACACACACACACACACACACAATGCACATATAAGCAGAGGGAGGGGGAGAGAAAAATGATTCATAAGCATACTCTGTCTTAATAACGCTGGATGTTATTGAATTAAAATCTGACATAACCTACAAGGGAAAAGTGAGGTCACAGAGGTTAAACTGAAACTGTTTTGGAGGAAAACAAAGAAAAGAAGAGGAGGAACAAATAGATGGTTAGGGGGAGAAAAAGGAGAATAGAGGCAGCAGAGGAAGAGGAAGAAGAAGGATGAGGCAAACAAAAACAAAGTTCTCAAAAAAAGTAAAGAGAAGAGTCCAGCAGAGAGAGAAAGGGAAGGAGGAGGAGAAGAAATTGTTCGGGATGAACCGAAGAAAAAAGTTTAAAAAAGAGAGGATGAAGGGTAAAAATACAAAGTAGTATTACGTAGTATTGGAATTAAAGATAAAAAGGAAGAGGAAAAAGGAAGAGAAGCAGGAAAAGGACAAATAGAGGAAGATGAAGAAGAGAAGGAGAAATTGAAGAAGTAGAGGAGAAATGATAGATGGAAAAGACAAAAAAGTGAAGGACGAGGATGTTGGGAAAGAAGAGGTAACAGAATTAGACTAAGAAAGAGAAGAAGTACAGTAAGAAAGGAAGGAGGAGGGTGAGGAGGAGGAGAAGAAGAAGACGCGAATCACAACACATCAGTGTGTTCCAGGAGAAAACCACCCTGACTCAGGTCTTGTCAGGATTTCAGCACACACTTTAATTATCCAGTCGTGTATTTAGTGAGGAAAGACTGGAAGCTGTTCTACTGTGACGGGTGCTGCAGAGGGAAAATGTTACTAAATATGCTGTACTGTCGAGGAATCGCTGCATAATAGATGCTAGAGTTGGCTCTTCCTCTCACTGTTTGTCGGCCCAGAGGAGAACTTGTCTGTATGAGTCGGCTGCCATCAAGAAGATGAAGCCATCCAAGAAGATAGAATGACGGCAGAATTTATCTTCGTCCTCCACTTATTTCCCTCGTCAGAGAGAGTGAGCGTTCGGCTTCACTGGTCAAGTGGTTTAAACAGAGATATTGGCAGGAGAAGGGTCTGTAATCAGGGCGCAAGGTTAAACACACAGCCCCAAAGCTCTCTCTCTCTCACAGATGAAGCTAATCCCACCCCCAAGAGCCGAAATGGGAGGCATAATTCTCTGTGATTTGACAGGAACCAGATGCTAGGCGGACCGCGGACGCTGGTGTTTGCAAAATGAAACAGCCTGTTCGCGTGGGGCTTCGGGGGTGTCACGCCGGTACGTTTCACATCACAGGAACAATCTGTTGTCTTGTAGCAACATGGGCGCATGAACGCCTCGTGAAAGTCAATGCAGCATGTAAGGTGGGGTGAACTGTCTGTCCATTTAAAGGCACTTTCTTTACACAGTGAAAGGCTGGTTCTCCTCGTCAAAAAGAATCACGTGAAACAACCAAAGCCAACAATAAATGTAGACACTGTTCCTGTCCTGTGCAGCCAAAGCATGATACTGCATATCTTATTCCTTGGAAAACACATCAATGAGTGACGTGTTCCTTCATTAACATGAACCTATACCTCGTGCCACATCTCACTTTACATTAATTGTGAATTCATCCGCTGCTGAAAATAGTCCCAAACAAATTCCCTATTCTGCTGTTTGAGTATTGAGAAATAGATTCAGTCCATTTATGAAATATGTTGACAGTAAGGAAAATATTTAATAATACCAACCACATTCATTAGAGAAAACGATAATAATTTGTTGCATATTTTAGCATAGATTTCATTAAATATGATCGAAAGCTCCAGAAAAGCTACAAATGGACTTTGTAAAAGCATTTTGTCAACTAACGAATTTCACACATTTTAAGGTGCACACTTCCTGTGTGGGAGCGGCCTACCTTGCTGAACAGGTACCCAGTGCTCCACCTCCAGGATGAACGCAGGTGGTCGAAACGCCTTCGAATGCAGCGGCCCAGAGGCATGGCTATATATAAACTGGAACCACTTCTCTAAGTTTTACTATTAAGATCATGAAATCAAAACAAAGACACTCCGGATCCTCATGATGGAAGAAGATGCTGGACTTTATCAGCGATTATGTATATTGATGCATCTTCTCTCCGTTCTTTCCTCTCGACTGTCTTCTCCCTACTTCCTCCTGCTGCCTCTCTCCCTCACGCCCACTTTGTGTTCTCTGGATCTACTCCTCCCTCGGTCTCATTATGTCTGACTCCCCTCTGCTTCCCTCGTCTTGACTCCCTTTTTTCCCCAGGCCGTGTGTTTGTGCATGTATGAATGTACAGTATGTTTGTGCTTCTCTGCTGCACATGTGTTTGATCTTAATTGCTTAAGCAGTAACATGATGAGTCATTACAACGGAGACATTTCTTTCCTTTGTATTCTTTGTGCACAGTGAAAATGTACAGCAGTGTTTTTGATTCACAGCGTCTCAGTCTCTGTCCTCTCCTGAGCCACAAACTGATTTTAAAAAAGTTCCCATAGTTAGCAGCCACAACATATGGATGATAAATCAGGATCACGAGCCTCAGCTGAGGATGCAACTCATTTTTATATGAAATGTCTGAGTATTTACTCCCAAACACCACTTAGTCATTGTCAAATTGTTTGTGACAACTTTCTATACTTACAGTAAAAATGAGTAGCCTCTGTCTTGGTATTTTTAGTGCTGGCACAGACTCATAATTACATCCACGTTTCCCATAAACCGTGTTTTTGAGAGGATGTCGCTACTTTGTTTCCATTTATTCTCTGTTTGTGCGTTTTACCAAAGAGGATGAACACAATCTCACACCTCTTATTGCACAAAGAACACAGCATGAGTTTCCTGCTGATGTTAGATAATTACACAATTTAGAAAATATTGTCTTTTGAGTGTAAAACATTGACTCCCTGTAAACTGGAAACTTGGCCCAGAAAGGTTTGCAGCTTGTTTTGTGTGCTGTCTGGAATCACAGCCGCTTATGGCAACCTGCAGTGAAAGAAGCTGCACAGAAACTTCTCCATCCTTCAGTCCATGCTTGTCAGACTCCGAGTCTGCGGACCCTCTCTCTTCCTCTGTGTGAAGTCCCAGACTGTGAATTAATCTCGACGCAGACCGATCTGTGTTTATAATCTCACTCTGAATCATCGCTGCAACTTCTGCTGCCGCTCGAAACATTCAGGCGACGTCCGACGCAAACACCGACTCATTATCGTGACTCACAGAGGAGAGAAATAACAGGGATGCGGGACATCAGTGCTGCTTTTATCTTTTGGATAAATGTTGCTTCTGGTTTCATGAAAAGGAAAACAAAGACATGAGCCTCTTATGATCTAAAAACATTTTAAACACGCTAACAGATGTTTGCCTCTGTGACCGCTGGTTTGAGTGACCTGTTTTCTCTCTGCATCAGTTTCCTCTCTTCATTTTCTGGAATCTCGCCCTCTTGGAAACAAACACCCTTCATGGTTTAGCAATGTCAAGCTAAACATGCATGCCTAGTCTCGGGCCAGGCCTTGGCAGCCATTTCTGGCACAGATGAGACACAATTTGCAGTAAACTGGCAGCAACAGATGTCACGGCAGCTTTTCCCATTTTGTAAGGTATGTACCAAATATTTCTTTATACTGGCACGGAACACAGCGAGGGTTAAATCATTTACCTCAGGCCGCCTGGTTGTATCGAGTCAGGGATATAATCATGGACTTTTTTGTCTCTTAGATAGGTAACTTTGCCACTTAAGAATTTGAATTACAATCGTTGTGTTTAAATTATTTCAAAAAATGTTTGTTCAACTTTAAAACATTTTTTACCATTAACAGATTCCAATTCATGGTGACTTTAATTTCAAGACGGGTCCCTTTACTGTAATTTAAAGTCAGGAGAGCCCTCCTGAAATAAAAAGGAGTCGAACCTGCAGAGCAGCAACAGGAGCTCTGATTGGCTAGCTGCTATGTATTGCATGCTGCTGCCACCTTCTGCAGTGAGCAGGAACAGGTGGTCGCATTTGCAAGTTGTAATGAATTTAAAATATATTAATTGAATATACTTAAACACAGAATCAGTCTATAATTATTCCAGTGCCACACTCCAGACCCAAGAACGATCACCAGTGCATATAAGGATTGTTATTCCAGCACTTTGCTGCTTAACAATAGCAGCCTTTATGAATGAGGAGCTTTGTCTACTTGGCATTAACACTAATAAGGAAGAGGTGTTACTCACCGGTGTATCTACATGCTTTAGTGCCAGCTGAGGAGTGGGAGGCTGGAGAGAGAAGCGAGACAGAGTCAGTGGGTTAGTCCTTGTTTCTCTCACACCGAGGAAGAAACAACATGGCGAGAGAAAGGATGAGAGAGAGACACACAATCCTCAATTATAAAAAATTGAAACAGAATCAAATCTCAGAACAGAGATATCCAAGTAGCAGAATATCTCAAAAGAAAACATCCAAAATAAAAAAGTGACCACAAATTTGAAATCGAAAATTGGGGAGCACAAGAGAGGAACGTGTTTGTACACACCGCCACCAGGGCCGTGAAATACAAATACATGTTTTATGTACATGTCCCAAATAATAATTAAAAAATTTGGAAAAGCTGCAACAGGATGGATCTGCCTGTAAAGTAATCTGGTCCATAAGTGGCAGGGAGAGGCAGAGATGCAGAAGCAGAGACAGTATGTGAGAAGTGGAAAGAAAATATGTACACACACACACACACAAAGAGCTTGACAGTGATCCATGTGTTAAGGAAAATCTCTTAACTGGGTTAGGTACAGCGTCTCAGGCTGATGTGAGCTCTATAAACAAAACTGGGGACTGTTTAACAAGCTGCTGCAGTCATTTAAAACGGCCGGCGTCCAGAGTAAATAAGTGAAAAGTAGTTACTGCTGCTCGGAATGTTCCTAATTTGGTCATTTTGGTGGTTAATCTTGAAAATATAAAACAGGACTGACTGTGCCACTTTTTATTCGACTTTATTGACAAGAAATCAGGAGAACGATCAAATTGCTTTCCCCGCTGGTTTTCTAATCATGACCCACCATTTGCTGAGCGTGCGTTCTTTATGGAAGTAAATTAAATATCCCATTCAAAGCTCATTAAAGGGAAAATGACTCGAGCCTCAGTGTTTCAGTGCGTAAATCACATTTTGTTTTATAAAGGAGCAACCCCTAGAGGAAAGGAGAGTAATCACTTTGACTGCAGCTCAGTCCTCTCCTACTCTGTGTTGCATCTAAATAGCTTCCTGAAACTTCTCAGGACCGTTTTCTTGGTTGCTGTGTCTTAAATGTATACTATAAATTGATTGTATACTTATACTTTAATACATGTCATTTCTAGTCCATGTTACTCTCTACTGTCTTCATACAAATGCAAATAAATGTCCCCTCTACAGCGGACAACAGGACACGGAGGGTGTCTTGACCTCACAGTCAGTGTGTGCTTCTGACACAAATCCAGGAGGGATCATTGCATCGTGACGGGGATTTCATAGGTCAATAAGATCTTTAAAAGATGGTCTCATTGGTACACACACACACACACACACACACACACACACACACACACACACACACTCACCAGATCATAGTTGGTAGTTAGTTGACATGATGTGGTGACCTGTAAATGGAGAAACAGAGAAATCGTGAGTGAAGAAAAGTATTAAAGTCTGCTGAAAAAACCTGTAAATGTTAAGTAGATCACATTAAACAAAGACAAGATGAATAATTCAACAAAAGCACCATAAAGGACATACAGTAAACTAGTGGCATCTTATGAAGTACTTTAGGACTGTGTTGTGTATATTCTTTTGTAGAAACAGGGAGGGAGAGACATCGCGGAGAGTTTCCCCCTGAATGCCGGAGTATTCCCTAAATCGCCCTCAACAGCACAGAAATAACCCCTACTTCATAAAACAGACTGTTTCTCTGTGTGGGAAACATGTCAGCGCCATTCCAGGCAAAATCACAGTTTGGCACAGAGTTCACATTGAGAGAGAATGCTTCCTGTAAAAGTCAGAAAACAACACACAGGTTGACGCACTACACTGGGACTTTATAACTCTTTTTGCATGATGTTATTTTTAGTTCTGTGTGAGAGAATCCAGACACAACGCAACACACAGTGCCTCGTCAGCCATGTCTAAAGCCATCTCACTCAGGTCAAACATCATGCGAGAAATTCAATTTACAGTCACACAGTGTGTCCATGCAGGGGAGGGCACCCGGATCTTCCCCTGCTCTGTGACTCCACGCGAACACATATGCCGGGATCGGACTACACAATATTTATGCCTTCCCAGATGGTCACTGTGTCAGATTAGGGGATTATAGAGTCATAAATTCTTCCTGCGACTTGACAGTGAAACATGAAGGATTACATGTTGGACGCCGGCCAATCATAGAAGATTTGTGTGACGTCCGTAGGCGATAAAGGTGCCACAAACAGTTTCCTCGTACACCGACAATATTTTATAAATAGCAGCGTTGAACCACGACTGGGCTACCAGTGGTTCTTTACTGCAGTAGGCCTGCAGATGTAATGACATTACTGCTGCTAATTACTGCTAAAATGCCATGCAGCTGTGTTGTAGGCAAGACCTAAACCGAGACCAAGTCAAGACCAAGACCAGACTTCTCTTTGTCCGAGACCAAGACAATACCTCATGAAAATGTGGTTGCTTCCGAGACGGAGACCCCTCAAATCACGAATACTACAACACAATTGCTGGTGATAAAATAATGTTTTATAGCCTGGGCCCCCCCTCAATCTCTCTCCCTGCTGAAACCCTGTCTGTTTTGGCAATGCAGTCTCGTGCTGAAAAAGAAACGGAAAGCTTCAGCTCCTTTTGTCTTGTGAAACAGCATCCTGGCTCCGCTCGGTGCTGTGCAACCACTCAGTAAAACAACAGTAGGTTTCCCAACAAAAACAACTGGGTGGCACACCAGTGCTCCGAAATGCAGAGTGCCCAGTACTTGTCGCCAGTTCTCCCAGCAACAGCATGACTTGTCCCCTAATTATACTATCGCCTCAAAATTAGAGCGGTATTGATTTCCTGATGTTGTAATGCTACATGTAGCGTCTTTAAATAGCAGGCCATTTTGGTACTCAATGCTTATAGTATCCATGACAGGCAAGTGTGGCTCCTAATAGTCTGCATAACCCTGTGCACCGCACATCACTGATTACGATGGGTAAACAGGCCCTCTCTGGCAAGCTGAGTGACGTCCATCTGATTGTGTTTACTTCAGTGTGCACAGATAAACACGCATGAGGGAGCACACGGACACATACGTGTGCTTGATGCAAGTTGACGGATGTTTACGAGCGGTGAGATGAGAGCGCGCTATCTGGAGACAACAGACGCAAGGCAGGAAGGAAGCCGCCGTAATTAGTTTGCTCTGGGAAAACAAAAGACTCATTGACTTTGTAATGCTATCATCAAGCGTATCAGAACACAGTAGTGGGATAACATCTCGGCGGATCAGATTCCACCCAGCGCATGGTGTTATCAATCCGCCACTCAGTGCTGATACGGTTATGTGCTCCTCTAAAAATATGAAGAAGCTGACCAAGGGTGTACGGAGGTATGTCAACAAGGTACAAAATGTTTCTGCTGATTTCTATGTTGCATTGCTGGCCCTTTAATAGGTTACCATACTGACTGGTTCTGCTTCTGATACGCACACTGCAATATGATTTGCACCCTTAAATAAGACATGAAGTGACATTTTTTATGTCGTAAAATCTGACTTCATAAGCTAACATTTGCAAGCCTTGTGTGGCCAACATCAGTTGGACCTTGTCCTTGTGTGTGCATGTGTGAGAGTAGCCATTCCTTTTGAGAAACACAACTTGGGGGGCATTATTTTGAATCCCCGGGTTAATTAAGTGAATGAGTTACAACTGTTACTGCTGCAGGTGCTACAGGGAAGTGGCTAAAAGCCGAAATAAGGAGGTGAACATGCATCCAATGACAAGGATGCATGCATTAACAGGATTGTTTGAAAAAAGATATGTTGCAAAGAAAATACAAATGTACACCTAGCTAAAATACAATAGCCCTGCAATAAGTCCCATATTCATGGTTGTATTTGTTGAAAGTTGATTCAGCTGTATGGTCGATACCCAACGAATCGGCAGCAGCTCCTCACAGCCCAACAGAAGAGGAAGTTGCTAGTCCCAGAAGCGAGTCGGCTCATGCCGGCTCTTTACAGAGCCGACACTACCTGGGGGCCGGGGCTGACATTCATATTTCAGGGTTGGCGGTCCCACTGGCCCCGGGCCTCGTAGCAGGAGCATCTGCCTTTATTCACAGCTGACATTAGTTGCTGTTCTGTGCGCTGTACTGTAGCGTACGCCTGCACATGTCCCGGTGATTACTCCCTCCAGTATTGATCTAAAGGTCAGAAGGGTAGAGTGATGACTTAGACTTCCGTTTGCGGCTCTAGAAAACGGACTACTGGTCGGCTCCCAGCCTTATGAATGCTGAATTATTTCTTACAGAGCACATCTGTGCACCTAAAATGGTTTTCAAGGAATCAGACTTGGCTTGGAAATATTGTTATCATATCACTTTCTTTAGTGAGGCAGTCATGAGAGAAGACGGCCGGAGCAGCAGACAGAGAGAAAATACAGACTAACACCGTGTCAACTTAAAATCCTTACCGCATCACCATGCAACCAAGCGAGAGAACAGCAGCTACCCTGACTTCATCCATATATGGCGGCGGCAGCTAGAAGCCAGACTAACACAGGCTTCACGTGGGCTTTACCAGCTCAGACGGATAAAAGTGAAGGAATCTCCGAGAGGCCCTGCCACACGCTTCAGCACCTCAACTCCATCCGTCTGCAAATGTTTGTGCAACTGCATGTGCATCTGTAAAATAATCCAGTTCAGTTGAATAGGGATAAAAAAAAGACCTCTTTGTCTGGTAGTTATCCATTTTTATCTGTGCATTGTTTCTTCAGCGTAACGGACGATTTGAAATGATGAATGTTGACCTTTTCTTTCGCCACTGAGTGAGTTTCACCAATCACTTCCCAGCAAAGTGACCAGCAGACCGCAAAGAAAACTCTCTGGCATGGAGAGAAACAGAGTCAAAGTGTTTTTTCGGCCTTTAGAAGAGGGAGTTTATAATCTCATCGAGTCACGAGGGGCGTCTGGGAAGCCGCTGAACTAGAACAAGGAGTCAAGCGAGCCACCGGGGGGGCCCCTCTGCAACTTCAACCCAGCCGAGAGGCCTCATTAGGGGGCAAACAGAGGTGAGCTGAGGCGGGACGTTGTTGAATTACCCGCAGCAAAGGTCAAATGTCTCAGGTGAGTCTCGACAGCTTCACAGAGGTTCCCTCCTCTGTCTTGATCCCCCCTCACAATGAGAGCGTGGATCAGCGACAGCGAGAGCTTTAATGACTTCAGCAAAAGTGCTGCTCAAGTACTCAAGTGGGTTTATATGGAAATGGAGAGTGCAGAATATCAAAGCAGGACTCTGGAGCCCGGTCCACCGAGCTGAATCGTCGTATAATGAGTAAACGTGCTGCAGTTCAAGCAGGATAGTGATGAACAGTTTTCCCTCCACGCTCACACACTTCAAACAGGCTGGAACAAGCATCCTCAGAGAACCGAGGAGGAGCAAGACTGGCTTGCTCAGCAACCTTTGCATTCTTTGTTTGCACTTTGTCAAACAACAAGGGCAATAAGCTTCCATCGTCAGTGCTTTCATTGTTTTAGTTTTGTGCTTTTTGACAGGTAAATGTATGTGATATATTGCGTGGCATACCCATCAAGCTTCTTATTTTTCCAAAGTTTAAAGATTTGTTAGAAGTTGAGTTTTTTTGTCCACTATTTTGTTCCCTTTTGATGCTCTCTGCCGTATTTTCCAGAGATTTATGCCCTCTTACCCCTCTGACTTAGCAATAATCAATCTGGACTTGAGTTGATCTACTTCAGCCTAACTGATGGGAGAAGGCATGTCTCCCACTGTGCATAAATCATCTCATTGGCTCCAATAAATAAGCCTGCCATTGGTCCAACCACACTCAGAATTCCTCAAGCACTCCTCCTGCCCACACAAGAGCCACTGCCGCGCTGATGGCAGTTTGCCTGAGAAAGTAAATTCTTCACTTTCCAAACGGGGGCCAAATAAGGACTGAAGCTCAAACGGCCCCTTTGGAGGGATTTGTACGTCGGCTGGGTTTCTGTTTAACTTGGAAGGCTAATAAATCCGTCGAGCTGCTGTGATGGTGACGAGCCCGTTCCTTTTCCCGCTTTGACATTTTGACATAATGTCAAGTGTGTAACACGCCATGTTCGACTGGGTGGCTGTGTGTCGCTGGCAAGAGCGCGCTGGCAAGAGCGCGCTGGCAGCGGCGAGTGATGTCGTCAGTGGCTGAATAATGATGCAGAATTCAAACAGACGGTTAAATCCAATCATCTCAAAAAGAAGAATGATGCTTGGGGATATTTTACCACTAAAATGCTATCTTTCCTTCATAAGAGAGTCAATAATTCAATATCCTGTGAACCAGAGAATCCACTAAACATGTAATTTAGTCACGGGTCTAAGCTATTTGGTGGATATTTAAATTTGGAACCAAACATCAGGAAACATGCTTTTCAG